GAAATAATTTTTTGGGGCGTATCTATTCATACTCAAAATTTAATTGGTTTTTAAAGCTGGTATGCGGACGGCAGATTTTGGTAAAAAAGGGGGCTTGAGATGGAAGAATAGGATCCTTCATTATTTTGAGATCCATCAATATGGATCACGATCCAAATAACGCGATTCGTATTGAAAGTGTAACAGGCGCCTTAATCAAACTAAGTGCAGGATTGGTTTTCATTTAAGAGCTGAATAACGAATTAATGAACTGTACAAATTAAACTATGTACAGTCAATGCGGGTACTTAAGCGAACACAATTCTTGTTAACTTACATAAATAAATCCTTGAATAAAACATCAACATTTAATGAAGTATACTTACTTTAAAACCAAGATCGTANTTTTCTTGCAAGTTTTGTAAGAAACCGCCAGCCAGTAAAAATTCTAGTACAACTTAAGAAGTCATTGATTATACATATTTATTTATACATATGTACATAAATATAGTTTGGGCCAAATTCAAAATGATACTGTTTGCCGCTTATGTTTATTAATTTTTAAGATTTTTCAATTAAAATAGAGTTCATTCCCTACCACATACAAAATTCTAAAAAATCAACGGTAATTTTTACCCACTTGAAACTAGAATGTTGTTACACTGACGGTGGCAAATAATGTCGATTGTGTAGCGCTGCCACTGAATTTCGAAATATGAAAATATTTTAAGAAATTTTAAAAGAGCACTTAAAAGGGAAAAATTACAAGTAAAATTGTAAATGGGATACGAAAAATTTAGGTACGTAGTCGGGTTGGGTAAATAAGCTGGGAGGTACTTAAGAGAGGGATTTTCTTCAGATTACATTAGAAAATTCACGGTGTCCAAAACTGTTGGTTACTTAAGCGGGTTAGCTACTTAAGCGGGTTTCACTGTACGTACAATTCGTTTGTGCCAAAGCGAATTAATATAAGGTGTTAGCAGGAGTACAAAAACAAAAATTTACATGTATTTTGTTTTTGCTTTTGCGGCGTAAACTGTCAAAATCTGTAAGAGTATGTGTGGAAGTGCAAACAAAATATTTCAATGTGACATTATAAGCGGTGAGGCGAATCATACACGAAATCAGCTGATCTGGTAACTCAACCTTACATAAAAACGCCTTGGTTTGTGCTGTGCATTCAGTTTGTAATTTTTGCATATTTGAAATTTTGATTTTGGCTTAAGGTCAAAGGGGCGGATTTATAGCCAAATTAAATTGATACTTAAAGATAGTTGCAGCTTCTGGACATAATTTTTAATGGGTTGTCTGTCAAAAAAGCTCCAATTAACTTTGGGTGGGCTGTTGTATAGAGCCGCACTCCTTATTATAAGAAAACTAGGCAGAATTAACCAATGAAACTTGGTGAAGACTATTTGAGAGGCATTCTTTTTAACAAAAATGCAAATACGACCGCCAAGGCCTTACAAAAATGACCAAAAATCGAAATTTTTACATGCATTTTCACAAGAAATGTTATATACCCTTGATAAGAGAAAAAGGACGGTAGCTTTGAAATTAGGGGGTCCTATTCTTCCATCTCAAACCCCCCTTTTGACCAAAATCTGCCGTCCGTATACCAACTTTAAAAACCAACTAAATTTGTATTATGAATAGATACGCTCCAAAAAATTATTTGGACAATTTAAGTATTTGAGAGGTGTATGCACAGCATGAATATCGATTGCTATCATAAAATATTCGCAAAATTTTATACTATTATCGATTTTGTTATTGATATTTTTATCGATCTTGTTGTGGATGTTTTTATCGATTTGGTTATCGATATTTTAATATATTTTGTTATAAATATCTTTATTTATTTTATTATCGATTGTGATTTTGAAATTTTTATAGATTTGGTTATCGATTTTGCTATCTACATTTTATTCGAATTTGTTATAGATAACTTTATCTGATTTGTTATCGAAATTTTTATAGACATGCTGTGTCATCATATGTCAGAATATCCCATGATATGAATCATTTGGCATGACATGATATCCTATCACGTCACTTCACATTATATCACATGGCATCTTATCACGTAATCGCACCTCACATCATCTGGGAGAATATGTAGAGGAAGAAAAGTATAAAAGCAAAGATATAAAAGATAAAAACAGAGATGTACGCTAGATATGTAACGTAAGTTGCACTTCCCCCATGTGGCCCAGGGCGACCTTAATTTTTTTTTGTAAATTTTTTGTAAATTATAACAGCCCCACAAACAATTCCTTATTAGTGTGGATTACACCCAGCATCATGCCATCAGCTGTATTTCTGACTAGCAAATAGTTACTAGTAAAAATTTATTCAGTACAATCCAGTAAAACTTGCAAGTTTAGCTGTCATTTTCACTCTCTCAATTTCACCTACTTTGCTATTTTTTTGCAAGTTTTGTAAGAAACCGCCAGCCAGTAAAAATTCTAGTAAAACTGTTACATACATGTTTTTACTGGATAATGTCTAAAATAACATATGTTGAAGTGCATCATTAGATTTCCTACCCATAAAAGGGGCAGAAAATATATATGTACGATCTACTACTTGTCAAATGCATGCAAAGCAAAGGATTTTCCTTACGACCCTTAATCAATTATTGGCCTCACCCGAGGTAAGGCATATTTAACACAGCTCATCTCTGCACCCACAATCAGGGTGTGAAGATTGTTTAGAAAAAAGCGCAGTTTCTGAAAAAAAATCGCCAAAAATCACCAATCTTTTTTTTAAATAAAATTCATGAAATCGATTTAGCAAATCTTTTATTTTAAAAATGAGATCTTGTTATAATATAGTTTTTAAAATCAATAACGAATATAATACCTTCAGAGGGTAATAATAAATAACACAAATCACGTATTTGTATAATAGTGATGTACAAACAATTATCTTTAAACATACGCATACTTTTTAAAAATATTTGTTTCAACACATTTTGCAATAGGACTGCGTAATTATTAAATTTGTTATAACTCATATTAATTGATTAATCGCACAATCCGCTTTTAGGAGCTTGGTGCTAAAAATAAAATAGAAACCTATAATAAGGCGAGATCAGCAAATTCAACAATTTCTTCAAAATCACCTTTAGTGTCTGAATGATTTACATTTCTGTTGCTGTCATATATTGAGCTATTCAACCTTGATAGCATACTGCTTGATATTGGAAACGGTTTGCAGCAGAAACTATTAGCCTTCATATAACACTTTATTCGAACTATTGAATTGAGGCTTTCCAACCTCATCCTATTTCGAATCATACTTTTTATTGAATTCATTACGGAAAAAAGCGCTCAACAAAAGCATATGAGTGCGGCAAGAATAATAATATGAAGGCTACTTTACTTATATTTCCAAACATTTTATTGCCTGTTGCGGTTTTCACTCCGTAAGCAATTATCCAAAATTCTGCACAGTCGGATGGAATGGTTCTGAAAAAAGTTATTCCATGGGAAAGTTAAAAAATTTAAATAATCAGTTTCCGCTGCTTTTCTTTCCTTCAAAGTCAAATTGTGAATTGGCAGGTCCCTGAAGCTCGCCCTCTTTTGATTCACTTTTCTGGTGACAAAATCAAAGCTCTTTTAAAAGTATTTAATTGACTAGGTAATCGTTTCAAAAGTTCTTCGATTAGGGTGATTAAAAGCTTTTGACAGTCTTTTAACATGCTTCTTAAGTTAAGTCCATAATAAACGCAATTCATTAGCCGCTTCTGTAAAATTATCGCGGAAAACTAAGTTTTGTATATTTTTACAATTGGAAAAAATTTATTTGAAGGAAAAAATCGTCAAAATTCGCCAATGGCGATTTCCTAATTTTTTACGCGCAAATATCCAAAAAACGCCAAATTGGTGCCAAATTGGTGCCAAATCGCCAAATCTGGACACTCTGAATCAACATAGGCCACACTAGTTTAAACTGTAAAGTACATTAATATCAGGATCAGCTAGTTCAGACTAGAGTTAACCGGTTGTCCAAACTGGCTTAGGAAAGACCAGTTTATCCTAAGCTAAACTGGTATATCCTATCACATGTTGGTAGAACTAGTTTGGCCTAGGCAAAACTAGTTTAGCCGTAAGATCGCGTTTGACCGGTAACATATGTATGGAATCAGGGAAAGCTATATCGTGGACATTCTTAATCGAATATACTCTATCCCTTTAGCAGAAAAAAGGCAATTTCCATAAAATCCGTTCCCTGGTAATTACCGTCGACCATATCACAATGTATTAGCCGAATAAAAGTTTAATTTGTTACCAGCCATTTTGATCAATAATTTTGGGCACCCCGTAAAAACTTTTAAATCGCTGCATCGTCCTCCGCTATTAAGCTAGTCAAATATACATATAGTCAAGGCGCTCTTCATAATGGGAGTGTATTTTTGATCTTCTTACTATTGACTACAGGGTGGCGTTTTTATAAAAGTTTGGTTTTTTTCGTATTAAAAAATTTGTATTGAGCTTGAGGACGTTTTTATTGGAAAATTATTTCGGCAAAACGACAATAGTTTATAAATTGTGGAAGTTATAGCTGCTATTTCGGAGATTACATCTCTTTTGGTGGGTTGGCATATGGGAAAGAGTGGAAAAAGCAACAACAATTTATAAGGCAAACTTGGCACAGTGTGTAGACCACTGGCTTTGGAAGCTGGGGTCGGTGTATCGAATGCCAGTGAAGAAGTCTGATAAGGAGATGTGGTCTCCAAAATACCAAGCTATAATTTCTACCATTTATAAACTATTATCATTTATAACGTGTTAAGTTTTAATAAAAAAATAATTATAACTTTTTAGTTTGACAGAATAAGATAATTCTTTCTTGAGAGGCATACAGCCTTTTTTACTACCTTTATAACGGTATGTCATTTATAAAATGCGGACATCAAATAAAAAAGTTATAAAACCCGATTTAGCTGTATTTACATACTTACTTTCCACAAAACCTGTCGGAATTGTAACTTGTATTTCTTTAACTGCATTCAGGGATGATATTGCCAACTCTTGCTCCTCGCTGAGTAGTCCTGAACTCATAGTTTCACCTACTTCCAATACGCGTATCCAAAGTACGTCAGCATCTAATATTCCCAGCTGTGTTGGTGTTGGCGTAAGTTCCGTGCAATCAAAAACATCAGCAAAGCGGCTGTACACGCGGGAGTCCGTCATGCATGATAACGATGCGTCGCGTGCACCGGATGCGACCACGAATGGTTCGAATGAAATGAAGCGGTAAGTAAATGCATCGAATTACGGAAGTAAAATTTAGTCACTGTTGCTTCATTTTAGCTATTCGAATACGCATAATAATCGTCCTTCTACAACCCAAAAAATTTGTCATGACGAACGTAAAGCCAATTCTCAAAATTCTGAACCCATTGATCGACGGCAGTCTTCACCAAATATATTAGACAAGTTTGGCGTTCTCTCAGCAAGCTTACAAATTCCAGTACCCATGGCGCAGGCAGGTCACTTGAGATTATCCGCTGGAAGTTCGGAAGAAAAGTCGCATGCGAAGATGGGTAACGAAAAATATGTTAATTCTTCAGATCAGTTGTACTATAGAAGTATCCCGCCAGACAACCCAAAATCTAACTTAACGGATAGTTACGATTACCTGGATATTCCATTCATTGAATATGCAACAACCGGACAGGAACTGGAAATTTCAAATCACTGTAAGTATATTTAAATAATACATCCCAGTTGGAGTATGCAGAATGTTGGGCTTAAACCAGTGATGAACAGCGTTGGCAGAGCTGCCAACACAAGCAGAACGTTTTTGTGTCGAGTATGTGTGTACGAGCATAGAACTCAACGAATTCTTTTAAAGTAGACATGTGCTTTAGTTATCAAATGAAAATTTCTGCAACAGAATGAGTGTATAAATATATTTTATAACGGCATCCCTCCAATAGAGAGTGAACTTTTTAGAAATGTATCAATACGATGTAGTACACATATAGAATCCTCTCAAGAAGAATCGATGCCAGTACTCATATTTGCAAAAAGTATCAGATCAGATGGCTTTGCTTTTATGTCCTCTTCCTATTTGTAAATTGAATAGGCACTGTTTTAAATAGTTGAAATCTAATCTAATAAGCATTTCTAAAGGAGTTTTTGAAATAAACTTGCAATAACAAACAAATTTTGTTTAAATTTAAAAAGCAAATATTTTATAAGTGTTTACAAATCACTTTACTTTGAAATGTGGAAAACGAGAAACAAATGTAGTGAAGCCAAATGTGGAAAAGAAATTTTTTTTTTTCAGAATGGGCTGCATTTCGAATTCATAACGATGGTAGAATACATTGGTTAACGGAGGTTCCGTTATGCTGGAGAGTGGCCAAATTATCGAGTCGAAGACCCCCTATTCCACCATTCTTTAACGAAGGTGGTGTGTAATTTACGGTTGCCGGATGTACTGATTTTATCAATACAGTACTGATGTTTCAATTGTTGTACTGATTTTGTTCATTTTTTCAATCACTACGCTAATGTCCTGATTTTCCAAAATTTGTACTGATTTGCACTGAATTTTCAATACTGAGCATAAAAATTTGTAATAGGGGTCTTGCCACCGTGCTTGGTACTCGATAACTCGGTGTTCGGTAATTTTCCCCCATTTGTTTTGTGTGTGTAATATTACTTTACACAAACAAAATACTTTAGAATTTTTTTAAGGTTTTTACACAACGTTGGATGTCGTTAGTATCGTATGATGTATTAGATGCTAAGTATCCTTATAAATATTGGTATTGGTGTCGGAAATAAAATATCGATATTTTATCCTTTTGATACACAAAATTTTTGACATAATAAGTTAATGATAAATTAATATGAAATCTTTAACAACTGCAGTGTGTAATCAACAACGTATAAATAAAATTATAGTTTAAAAACTAACAACTCGCTACGTAATTTGACAATGGAAATCGCTGCATCTTTTAGGCGCATCATTATTACATAGTTACATCCCAAGCTAACAAAAACGAGGTAAAAATGGCTCGATTTCATCAGAAAATCAGTAAATCTTTCTTTAAATTCGTTCTATTCACGAAAATTTCAGATTTTTCAAATAGGAGTTGCACCTGGTAATGTGATGATATAATTTACTCTTCGGCGTAAAGGCCTGTATGCAGCTCTCAAGAATATGGTCAAGAAAAAAGTTTCGTGTGAGTGTCCAAGGAATTTTGGCATTTGATACTTCACAGCGTGTTGCTCACTCTTTCCTCAAGAAATAATGGAACGGGCATATATTTCTGTTGCAAACATGGGTTACCTTGTGTTCTGTAGTAGAAATCGTAGCAAGTTTCTTAAGAACTGCGTACTGCCTTCAGGAAATTTTACTCAAGAAAATTTCTTAGCAATTTCTTGTACTTCATTTTATATGGGGTTTTTGCTTTTCTTGAGAGATGAATACTGGCCTTAAAGGCAGAAAAACAGAAATAAAAACAAATCAATGTCGTTACGCTGTACTGTGTTTATATGGTTTGAATACATTACGATGCCATAAAAGTATCGATACTAGTATCAAATGGACATAGGAAATAAATTATCGCGCGAACAATAACATGTATTCCCTAATCAGGAAACATACTAAAATAGAATTCTACGAACGATATGGCTTGTATGAAGATGATACTGATATTGATGTTATTATGATACATTAAGCGGTATCGAAAGAAAATACACATATAGGTATCAATATTATCGTCACCCTAGTATCGAATACCGATTTACCCAGTATCTAAACAAAAGTATCGATACCAAGATTATATCAGTAGTATCGCAACATCCCTAGACGTCGTTAACCTGTACTGTAAAAAAGTAAGAAGAAAATAATTTAATTATATTTATTATGGAGCTACTTCGGCCGATGAAAATAAGAAACGCAAATAGATTTTCTTCCTTCCCTCCTACGCGTTTCGACGCTTCGCGTCTTCCTCAGGGAGTCTATTTTATTCAACAACTAGCGGTACCCCGGTGTGCTTCTCTACACCAAATATTGAAAAATTGATGAAAAATCCTGGAATTTTTCTATATTAATATTTATCATTTGTTTTATTTCAAAATGTTTGATTCTTTATTTTTAATCTTAATCCAACACATTTGGATATACAACATTTTTTGTTTTTCCATCTTGGGTATGAATAAATAAAAAATTTGGAATGCCAACTCTTGAACATGCCACGTATAGCTGTCCGTGCGAAAAGCACGGCTCCTCCAAATTCAATCCGCATACTTGAAGAGTTTGTCCTGGCGCCTTGTTGACGGACATGGCAAATGCTAGACGCACTGGGAATTGCAAACGCTTGAATTCAAACGTCATGTCTGTTTTTATCAGTGGAATACGTGGTATGAGAACAATTTCACCTTTCGCTTTGCCAGTCAGTATTGTTGCTTCAACTGAATTCGCCATCAATTTTTTTACTGCCAGTCTTGTGCCATTACACAGTTTTGGAGCATTTAAATTCCGTAGTAAAATAATTGATGAGCCGATCTTTAAATTCAAACAATGTGGTGGCATACCAGGCGGTTCCATTGAATTCAAAAATTCAACTGGATAATTCACTGCGTCATCTTGATTCATTGCGCTGTCAACAGATTTATATGTTGTCACTTCATATAGCAATTTTTCTTGAATTTGATAATTGATTGAATTGACATGCACATTTTTGGTGCCAGTATTGCGCGTTCTCTCAACCAATCTCAATACAGGTAATTTTGAGCAATATTTGGAAACACGCATTCAATCAATTTTTCTTTAATTGGAGAATTGTACAAAAATTCTTCGGCAAAGTAATCAAGCCATTTGTATTATCGATTCGAACTTTGCCATTTCCGATCTCTAACAATTGCTTCGAGAACCGATCTTCAAATCGATTATTGTGCAACTGAACACGCATGTTCATGTGTAATGTCAATTTTTGCACATATCGCTACAGAGGGGAAGACTTCAAGCATGCATTGATCTCATCTGCCGGTGTTGATCGTNACCACCAAAAAGCTGCTGATTTCCACGTAAATCCTGCATTGTGTTGATTCTTCAAAGTCCAAAATAGAAAGACCGAATATCAATGTACACCACCTATTCGATAATACGATGAAATGACAGATATTTTGTGTTGTGGTGACTTTCATTCCATTGGCTTTCAATAGGGAAAGACTTGCAGCCATGTTTATACTTGACTTAATTTATCCGAAGAAAAAATAAAAACACCACATTATAGCAACAATTTTCCACTACTTTTTGAAACTTTTCGTACGAAATGATGCAACAACCTTGTGCAAAATTATTAAAATAAATTCAATTGATTATAATATTGATTTTTTTGAGCTCAAGGCCGCACAGTGTAAGATTTGACCCATCTAGCTGCTTTTAATTCTGTAATTCGAAAACTATTGAAGATAGATTAATGAAATTTTGCACAAGGTACGTTAATAAGATAGGCGAAGCTTTTTACAAAAAAATTGGTAATTTATAGTTACTGTCACGCCACCCTATTATATAACTGCAATTTTTAAAAATGCAAAAACTGAAATATTTAACTAACTACAAAGGCTAAAATGCCCAAAATTAATATTTAGAATTTCCCTATAACAAGGAATTATAAACTGACAGAAATGGACTTAAAAATAAATATATATTTTTTTAATTATGGGCGTAGAAAATATTGATAAAAAAGTCAAGTTGGGTCAACAAAATTCCGTTATAAGTTCAATATTTCTTGCTCTATTTACAAAAATGGGATACCATTGGAAATGTAATGAATCAGGCTTTCTCTATTCAAAGCAAAAATACAAGAATTTGTCTCGGCCGAGATAAAATGCAAATGAATTACTCGAAGAAAATGAAATTCCCAGTAGGCCAGAAAAAAGAAAATTTCATCAAAACCTGCACTTTCCAGCAGCTAAAATTGTGTTGTTTAAAGTCTAGGAGGAGTGGCAAATAAACTGAGATACAAACTTTATCGAATAGTGGCGGATAACGAGTTTTCGGGTCTAATAAAAATAATAATTTGCTAAAAATAAGTCTAAGTCAACATCGTTTTACTTTAACATGAAATACTCAGTCCTAGTTTACTAAATTCCCAAAAATGTATATTCATTAAAAACATCATACCTAAAAAAATAAGACCAAAATGATATTTTAGCAATTGTTGCATAAATCACATAACACCGACAAATTAAACATTGAGATTCAGTTTCAAATATACAAGTTTAAATATTATTGCGCTCAGTAATTTTCCAAATCAAACCCCGTCCCGCCATACACTTTGATTTAAATTTTTTAGTTGTTATTGTTTCGTCTTTATCAGGCATTTCTAAAAACATTCTTGACGTTGGTTTGAAATTTGGCGACATAAAATAATATAATTAATCTTTTCTGGAATATGGAAATGATACACTGTGGGCCGGGTTGAAATAAAACAATCTGTTTTTGTTGTTTTTAAATCGTATATGTTTAAAAAAAATCAAGCACTAATTGTGAATTATATTGCAGCCATGTTTATACTTGACTTAATTTATCCGAAGAAAAAATAAACACAGCACATCATAGCAAGAATTTTTCACTATGTTTTCGATTTTTCATGTATTTGCTTTTGTACCATATACGTGGTTCACGTGACAGACATAAACTGTCATATATCATGAACCGCTGGACCGAATTCGGGCACACTTCACATAACCCATCTGCATGATAGTCCGAATATACCGTTTAAATTTGGTAGAATTCGCGCACTTATTTTTTTATTTAAGATGGGGAGTATGGAATTATTTCATATGTCTCTATACCAATTCCAGTAATCTACCACAAATATTTCAAGAGATATACCAGATGAAAATTTTTGTTAGTATGGGTGGTGCCATGCCCTCTTTTCCGAATTCGGG